TCCCTTCCAACCCAAACCAGTCTGGGATTCCATGATTCTACATATATACATCCCTGAAACAGCTTGCTGTACATACAGATTGCGTACACATACACACGCACTCCCATCTATATGTAATATGCAGCCTAAAAATACCTTGCTAGCAGACAGCTGTCCAGTGAAACCAGTCTGTCAGGCCATGCAAACGGCAGCTCTCTGAACTAATTCAAAACAGCTAAATAAAGCTGTGGCCGAACGGCCGCAGCCAGAGCTGGGATGCTCGAACCTTCGCAGCTCCCGCGAGAAGCGAAGAGCTCCCGGCGCAACACCAACTCCATTAAAAATCCATCCCAAGGGTCTCTGCCTCAGCCCATGCAGGTCACCAAGAACTAAAATTACATTAAATCCCCCATCAATTAAAACGTACTTTAAAACTTCAGAGCACCTTAGGCAGAAATAGAAACGTGTTTGCACGATTTATCATCTTTTTTAGCTGCTTTGGAGGTCAATATTCTCAGCAAGCAGAACATCCCTCGTCAGCATTTACGGTACAAACACCCCGGCGCCGTGCGAAGTGCAGGCTAACAAAGCCTGACATGTCGACTTGATTTCTCACCCCAGCAGAGAGAGAAGTGGCCAGCATGGGGAACGCTGCAATGGAAATCATAGAATCATTATAGAATCATCTGGTTGGAAGAGACCCTCAGGATCATCGAGTCCAACCGTTCCCCCTGCACTGTCAGGGTCCCTAAACCATGTTCCTCAACACCAAATCCACACGGTTTTTAAACACCTCCAGGGATGGGGACTCCACCACCTCCCTGGGCAGCCTGTTCCAACACTTCACAACCCTCTCTGGAAAGAAATTCTTCCTGATATCCAACCTAAATTTCCCCTGGCGTAACTTGAGGCCATTCCCTCTCATCCTGTCATTCCTAACGTGGGAGAAGAGACCGACCTCCATCTCCCTACCACTTCCTTCCAGGTAATTGTAGAGAGCGATAAGGTACCCCCTGAGCCTCCTCTTCTCCAGACTGACCAGTCCCAGCTCCCTCAGCCGCTTCTCACAGAACCAGTTCTCTAAACCCTTCACCAGTTTCGTTGCTCTGATCTGAAATAGCAAAGGGTGGATGTGACTGGAACCGGTTTTGGCCGGGATGCTCTCAGAACTCAACACATCGCTGGGAAGATCTTTGTAGGAGTGCTGCATCGTCACACACCCTTAGAAACCAGCCCGAGCAACACATGGCAACGCTGAAGACGGGTGGAAGCAGGGACTCGTGTGCCCTGCGAGTGGACCTTCATCTCTGCCCCTCACTGCCTTCCCAACCTGTTTCCTTCCCTGCCCTCCCGCACGCACACAAACGGGCGTGAGCAGAGCTCTCTGGAGAGCCAGGAGCTCCAAGAAACACTATTTTACACTTCGGAGCTCTGCTCACACATCTGGGATGCAGAGAGCCCTTCTCTGGGCAGCACCTCCTGGGAAACCAGTTGCAAAGGGACTAGCACATCTCACAGAATCACACAGAATGTCAGGGATTGGAAGGGACCTCAAAGGATCATCTACTCCAATCCCCCTGCCGGAGCAGGACCACCTAGATCAGATCACACAAGAACGCGTCCAGGTGGGTTTGGAACATCTCCAGAGAAGGAGACTCCACAACCTCTCTGGGCAGCCTGTTCCAGGGTTCTGGTACCCTTACTGGGAAGAAGTTCTTCCTCACGTTGAAGCGGAACCTCCTGTGTTCCAGCTTATATCCATTTCCCCTTGTCCTATCGTTGGATGCCACTGAGAAGAGCCTGGCTTCATTCTCATGCCAGTCACCCTTTCCATATTTATAAACATTAATGAGGTCCCCCCTCAGCCTCCTCTTCTCCAAGCTAGAGAGCCCCAGCTCCCTCAGCCTTTCCTCAGAAGGGAGATGCTCCACTCATCTCCAGGGACTAACACATCCCTCCGAGAGTGAAACCAGGCTCTGCTCCAGAGGCT